CCAAGATTTGGGAGGAGGAAATATTACCGAAGGAGTGGATGGAAGGTGTCGTATGCCCAATATACAAAAAGAGCGACAAGTTGGATTGCTGCAACTACCGCACGATCACACTGCTGAGCGTCGTCTACAAGGTACTCTCCCAAATTATATGCCGCCACCTGTCACCATTTGCAAGAGAGTTCGGGGGTAATACCAGCCAGCCGGGATTCATGGGTGCCCGCGTACCACGGACTAAATTTTCGCGATTCGGCAGGTTCTGCAGAAATGCCGCGAATACGACGTGCCAACACATCATTTGTTCATCAATTTCAAATCCGCATACGACACAATCGATCGCGATCAGCTATGGCAAATTATGCACGAGTACGGATTTCCGCATAAACTGGCACGATTGGTCAACGCAACGATGGATCGAGTGATGTGGGTTGTTCGAGTATCGGGGACACTCTTGAGTCCCTTTGAATCTCGAAGGGGGTTACGGCAAGCTGATGGACTTTCGTGTCTGCTATTCAACATCGCGTTAGAAGGTGTGATCAGAAGAGCTGGGATAAACACGAGTGGCACGATCTTCAGGAAGTCTTCTTGGCTTCGGCAATGACATTGACATCATGGCACGGAACTTTGAGACAGTGGCGGAAACGTACATCAGACTGAAGGCTGAAGCTAGGCGGATTGGCAAAATACATGAAAGGAAGAGGTTGTAGGGAAGACAATGTTAGCCTCCCACCCCGAGTTTAGATTGACGGTGACGAAATCGAGGTGGTCGATGAGTTCGTGTATTTGGGCTCACATGTAGCCGCCGAAAATGATACCAGCAGAGAAATTCAAAGACGCATTATGGCAGGGAATCGTGCCTACTTTGGACTCCGGAGGACGCTCCAGTCGAATAAAATTCGCCGCCGCACGAAGTTGACTGTCTACAAGAAGCTGATTAGACCGGTGGTCCCCTACGGCCACGAGACCTGGACTAAGCTCGTGGAGGACCAACGCGCCCTTGGTGTTTTCGAACGGAAGGTGTTGCGTACCATCTACGGTGGAGTGCAGATGGATGACGGAACGTGGAGGAGGCGAATGAACCACGAAAGCGACCCAACAGGAACAAGAAGAAGAGGCGCGCAGTGGGCAAGGTGCATCGACAAAGTAGAAGGCGACCTGCGCATCTTTCGCAGACTATGAGGCTGGCGAAGTGTGGCCATGGATCGAGTAGAGTGAAGACGACTTCTCCGAACAGCAGAGGACAACAAGGCCTTAGCCTGATTGGTAAGTAAGTCAGCAAGCATCATAGAACTTATGAAAACTTTGTAGACATTCATAGAACTGCGTTGAATTTGTGAAAACATTCTAGAAGTGCAGCAATTCAGAAAATTCAGCTAAGTTTCACTTCATAGATCTTCAGTGGAATTCAGTAGAACATCATACTTCAGATAATTTTGTAGAAGTTTGCAAGTTTTGTAGCAGTTCAGAAAAAATGGTAGAACTTCATCAAATAGGGGAAATGTCGGCCTAAGTGTCCCTAATTTGGGCCCATACATAAATTCAGCAATCGACTAAATTTTCAATAGTAACCAAAAATATCCATTAGTAACGTCCCAATAACGCGTTCATCTAGATAAAATTGATAAATAGCAGATTTTTAGCGATGGGCCCAATCCTAGATCCATAGGCGAACATTAGGGACATTTCCCCTATTATCAATTATTTGCAAACTTTAAAGAGAGTTATCGAATTTTGTAGAAAATCAATTAACTATGCTGAAGTTCAGTGGTTTTTCTTTAAGGGGTATATGTAAAATCGACCAAAAAATCGATTTGTCAAAAATGGGCTTATTCGATTCGTATTAGTAAACACGTGTTAGTATTTATTAGTATTAGTAAACACGTGTTGAGGTGAAATGTTGCTGTTTGTAAATAATTGAGGTCTAAAGATGGATCGGCATAAAGGTTATCGATTTTGATTGACTCACAAGATGTATCCTGTGTGCATGACGAAGCCAGATTTTGATATTTTTTTAATACAAAAATAAAAAAAAAACTGTCGATTTTCATCAAGAAAAAACATGCAAAATATTTTTATCTTTTTTAAATCCACTTTTCAAAAATCGGCCTTCGCCATGCACATGGGACCTGTTTAACGAGTCATCCCAAAAATGAGCCGATTTGGTCAGAACCGTGATGAGATATCGAGGGACCCGTTTTTTTTTTCAAACCACTAACTTCAAATAAGAATATCTCAGTAATTTTGTCTTCACATTTATGTTGTTTACAGCTGAAAATGTATATGATGCCCTGAAAACAAGTTAAAAAAACTAAATGTTTGCTTATACCAAACCATGATTTTTTTACCGACATACTATATTTATCCCCTTAATCTTATTAGAGATGTTCACAGGACATCTTCGAAATTCAGGAATGCTGAATTCGGAGAATTTCGTTGAGAATAAATTCAGAGAAAATCGAAGAAATTGAGGGTGGTTCGTAGAAATTCAGAAAAACTTTATACAACTGGGAACCTTTTAAAAGTTTGGGAAACTTCGTTGAATTTAAGGGATATTTGTTAATTTGTATAGAACTCCATGAAAATTCATTTAGCTTCAGTGTTATGTAGAGATTAATGAACTTAAAATATCATCTGGAAGTTACGTAAAAAATCTGGAATGTTTTAAGAATTTCAGGGCAATTTGAGCAAATGCAGCTAACTTCATAAGAATTATGAGAACTGCGTAGAATTCAGGCGAACTACGTTCTTAAAACTTCATAGAAATACTGAATTTTTTTTTTATTCTGTCAAAATTGTAGAAGCTCAGCAAACAATTTAGAAGTTCAAGAAACTTCATAGTGGCTCAGCGAGTTTTGTAGAAGTTTAGCATGCTCTTCAGAACTGCAGGATTTGATTTGGGAACATACTAGAAATTTTGGGAGCTTTGTTTCGCTCAGATCTTTGGAAAAATTCGTAGAAAATGTTCAAGATTATTCCTGAAGATTGAGATCATCTAATATCTTAATTGAATTGAGAGAACTTAGAAAAAAACTACAAGGGACAGCCCTAAGGGGTTGTAACCAATGGTGACGGAGGACTACGTGGTCTTATATAATAAATCTTATTTTTTAAATGCAGCAGGAGCTTGTGTTGTGTGTAGGAGTCGGAATTTGAGCTGGGTTCTCTCTGCTTATACTCTTTAGTATGACGCGTTGACATAGATGGCCCACAGTGACTCACGAAGAGCTACTGATTCCGATCAATAGCGGTGCGGCTTCTTCCTCTTTCTATGGGTGCTCATGTGGGCTGCAGCTTGCTGCTTGCAGGCAGCCTTTCGTTGTGTACAGGAGAACACCACCACTCACCACGCGGTGATTGAATAAACACTGTTTGGGGAGACCGGATGGAATTCAACTTTGAAACCTGTGTTAGGGAAATCGCTTTTCGCAGGCAATCGGTGATAATTTTAATTATCATAGCAACAGTTGCTCATTCATGCAATTTTCAATAGTGACATTTAAAAAAAAATAAAAAAGTGTTAAATTTTACAGATGCTTAGGAATATTTCTGATCGATTGGTGATAAAATTATTCAAATTGGTCCAGGGGCAACTGAGTTATTAATGTTCAAAATCTTTCATAATTTTGTTACATGTTCCATTTTTGGTTTTCGCAAAGTGTACCCCCATATAGAAATCACAGACGTAGTCCTACGTCAAAATATGGAGCTTGGAAGTGATGGAAGCTTGTAGAAGATGAGAAAATTTCCAGGAAGTAACGCTAAGGAAGCTTTGTAGGCATTCAAGGATCATTAGAGCAATTTTCCGTCCCTCAGGATTTACAATTGAAACTCAGATTTTTTCTGTGTAATTCTGACTATAATTCCAAAGGAATTCTAAGGAGAATTGATAAGCAATTATAAAGGGAATTCAAAACAAATTCTGAGGATAATTTCAAAGGGGGTAAGGTTAGGTTAGCTTTATTAACGAGACTCTTAATTGCAAAGGAACTTTGGGGTGTAATCCAAAGAAATTGAGAAGAATTACTTGGAGATTTCGAAGATAATTTCAATATTAATCTAAGGAGAATTCCTAGAGCATTCTAAAAAGATTTCCATTTTTTAAGTATAAAACTTGTCAAACACCAAACAAACATTGAAAGTTCAATAATGGCTTCTTCAAGCAAAAATATGCTTCTTCAGCAAACAATTGCATGTTCAGCTCCTAACAAATTCAATTTGTTTGTTAGCCAGGTAGCACTTTTAGTCACTAGACGCCTCTGAATAATTGAATTAAAAAGGTAGTAACTCAACCCACTCAAAAACACTTCATAAGGGATTTTGTTAAGAGGTTCGACAAAATTAAAAGATGCTAAACATTCAATTAAAAACTCCATCGAAAATCAATAGCCTTGACATATGTTTTATTTTATTTTGTTGTTTAACTATCGAGTACTTTCCTACAGTGACAAAAATCAGACTATTTTATAAAAAAAAATAAAACATTCTTGAGTAATCCGTGTTCGAGTATTTGCATAGCGATCTTCATGAGAAAAAGAAGTACCAAATTAGGCAAGAGTGATAGCACCAATTTGTGCTGTCCCTGAGTAAACAAGTTTGCGCATGACTTCTGTTCTTACAGTATTTTATTTTTTCTCTTTTCTTTCATTTACACAGGAAAGCACATCTCTAAGAGAAGACGTGTTCTTAGTTGCCATATGCTATCCCCATTTTAAAACCTGGTTTTTCAATGTGTTTCTATGATTACTTTTACCGAATCCTACTTCCATATCTTTACTGATAATAGACACCAGATTACATTCCTGCTTCCACTGAACAATTTTTATGAGATATAAGCTTAAGATTCATTTAAAGTGCCAATAAACCAACCGAAGAAGACATGCTATTCTCCATAAATGCTCCGAGAGACAGAGTATTGTTAAACAACAACAAAAAAGAATTCCCTTACAAACCATTTAAGGAAAGATATTTCGAATAATTAAAGATTCTATTCTTCCCCTCGGCAGCCCGTCGCAGCAACAGGTGGATGCGGATGTCGATGTGTTAGTTCTGGGTGCCGGAATAGCGGGACTTGGAGCAGCGAAGGCACTAGTCAATTCGGGCAAGACCTTCGTCCTACTGGAAGCTCAATCTGTGGCTGGTGGAAGGATTCAAACAGTGCCGATGCAAAGTTCTGTCGGAACAGCAAGAGTAGGAGCTTCGATCGATTCAGGAGCACAGTGGCTGCATGGCAAGCAGAATGAGTTGCACAAAATTGCCGAAAAGTATGAATTGCTGCATGAAGAACTATCTGAGGAAGGTTTGGGAGAGTATATCAGGGATGATGGTTACAGAATGGATGATTTATTTGTGAAAAAGGTCGATTTCCTAATCGGACAGATTCTGGAGGAATGTGAAGAATTTGCCCAAAAGGATAGTGCGCACTTTCCAGCTTCGGTAGAAGTGTTTCTACGAGAAGAGTTCAAGAAAAGAACAGATCAATGTTTCGCCCTTGAAGAGCAGGAATTAGCTAATCAGTTGATAGACTGGCATATTCGGTTCCAAGTAATAGACAACTCTTGCCTCACCTTATCAGACGTTTCCGCAAAGCTGTGGGGTAGTTATTCCTTCAATGGAGAAAGCTGTCAAGCCCACATAAATATGAAATATGGTTTTCAAACCCTCGTAAATTGTTTGATCAAGAAAATTGGAGTGGAGAAAATACTATATAAAAAAGAAGTAAATGAAATACGATGGAAAGATCAAACATCTCGCGTGATTGTAAAATGCGCCGATGGAACCACCTACAGCTGTCAACACCTTATCGTGACCTTTTCTTTGGGTGTTCTCAAAGCAACGCTCAATAGACTTTTTCAGCCAGCACTTCCCAAATCCTATCGGAGATCCATCCGAAACATTGGATTCGGCACGATTGACAAAATATTCTTGCAGTTCGATGAAGCCTGGTGGGGAAAAGCGGGAGGCTTCCAGTTTATTTGGAGAGATAATCTTGAGAAAGGATCTCATTGGACCAGGTATCTTTCTGGGTTTGATATAGTCAACCCTGGACCGTCGAACACCCTGCTGGGATGGATCGGCAGCTACGGCGCTTTAGAAATGGAGAAACTCTCCGATGAACAAATTGTCAATGATTGCATTTTTCTGTTGGAAAAGTTTTCGGGGAAAAAAGTACCGCGGCCGATTAGCTATTTCTGGTGAGAACTCATCTTTCAAAATCAATCAAAGTTTAAAATCTGAACCATTCTTTCTTTTAGCACACGGTGGAACTCAAATCCCCACATTCGGGGCTCGTACAGTTACACCTCCGTCAACTGTGATTTCGAGTCGTCCTTCTTGAGTGCCCTCCAGGAAACGCTTGTGTGCGATCAGTACAATCGATCTACCGGAGAACTGGAAGTCATCTCTAAAATGGAAAGTCCAACGATAGTAAAATCGTCAGCCACCACCACCATACGCTTCGCCGGGGAAGCATGTCACGAGAAGTACTTTTCTACAGTTCACGGTGCATTTCTTTCCGGAATTGAACAAGCTAAAAAACTGCTATGAACTCTTCCTACCGGCTCTTCTTTTGAATGTTTTCACTCAAAATGTAGAACTAGCTGAGATTTTAATAAACGCATTCTACGGAACATACAACCTACCTTCGTTTTGCGTTCGGCGAAACCAACGTCTAGGGTTTTTTTTTTGTCACAAATTTCACAATGTCACTATACAGCCACAATTTTCACCTCTTGCACTATAGTGTATATACAGGATTCTGATGTTATACCTACCAATATTTTTAAATTACACTTTACACAAAACTAGAAAAATTAAATTTTATTTTTGGTATTAAGCTCCAACCTGCATTAACCTCGGATAAAATCTCGATCAAAAATGTACGGCTGGTTTGATATAGACAACAGAGTCAATCAATACAACTCTAAGTGAACATTTCGCAGATCATACAAACAGGGACGATATTAAAGTTAAGCAGAGTTGGAGCATACCGCCATTAATGTCGGAAACAAAACAGCAGGCCACATCCGCGAGCAATGTACAACACGCTATTTCAAAACTCCCCAAACTTGGATTGAATCCACCCAGATCGGACAAAACTGAACCTACCCAAAGATGGGTAAACTATGTGTGGATCGACAAGTTGACAAATGAATAACATCGACATGAATTCGATCGATTTTGTTCGTATGTCAACTTGTCACTCCCAACATAGTTTAACAATTTTTGGGTAGGTTCAGTTTTGACCACAGGACTGACATCAAATGTTTCCACTATGGGATTTCACAAATTTGACAGTACCCTCTTAACTGGTTTATAAATTTATGGCCCATAACAAACTTGAACAACACATACGAACTTTGCGGCTGTACACAGCAAAATAAAAATTAATATCGATCAATGTAATTCAAGCTGATGTATGAAATAATGATGTAATAGCAAAAAGCAGATACAATATTACATCAATGGATGTAATTTTGTTCGCAAAATCGATGTACATCGTACAACGTTATATTACACAACCGATGGATTGACCTGGTTGCAGCAGTTTGGATGTAATATTCAACAATTTTTTTTCTGTGTATTGCATATTTTACAGCTGCCGCTTACATCGTTTTGCGTTGGTTGTAAGTGTGTGAGTGAAAAATAGCAGACAACAGAAAAATGCTGGCTTAGCAGCCCCTTGGTTTTGACCGTTCTGGGATTTTACCCACATTTGGGTAATTTTGAAATAGCGTGTGTACAAGGTCTGATCTATACAAGGGGGGGAGGTGGCTGTCAAATACGAACAATCGTCGCCTACCTCGCATAACTGGTTCCAAACGTAAACAAGCCATAAGAAACTTACAGCGTTTGTTTACGTTTGGAACCAGTTTCATACAAGATGATCAGTAGGCTGATTTGACAGCACGTCCCCCCCCCCCCCCCCCAGGATCTATAGTATCTATATGTGGTTGACAGGGATAAGGTCCCCCTGTAAATTTCACCATACATTCTCAGGTCGGTTTTCCACCAGCCCATCGATTGAAGATGGCTCACCCTCTGGTGGTGAGTACTGTCAGAAGCAGTACGAAGCACCCCATTGCAAACAAACTTGGTCGCTCATCCATATAAAAATCCAACATGGCTGTCCGCATAAACGCGAACCATCACATGACCTTACCGATAATGGTTATAAATTGTTTATAATCCCTGCTAAACTTCAACTGAAATGGTTATGGAACTTTACATGAACGTTTGTGTGATAAAGTTTTAACCTTATGTATTATGGTTTTTTGGAAGCGGACCTTACAAATAATGGGTTGTTAAGAACCATTACCATCTAGATTACCATTCCAAATTCTTGTTTTCTCCATACATTTTCGGAAAGAGAACTATATTAGAACGTTTTTACTTATGGTTTGAGAACATTAATGGTTATGGTTATGGTAGTCAGTAAGGTCCATTAATGGTTTTGTATTATCGCTCAACTTTACGTGAAATATATCGTGAATTGGTAATCAGTAATTTACAGGCAACCAATTCGCGATATATTCCACATAAAGTTGATCGATGTTACAAAACCATTCATGGACCTTACTGGTTACCATAACCATTACCATTAATGTTCTCAAACCATAAGTTAAAAGGTTTTAGTATAGTTTTCTTTCCGAAAATGTATGGAGAAAACAAGAGTTTTGAATGGTAATGGTTCTTAACAACCCAAGGTCCACTTCCAAAAAACTATAATACTTAAAATTAAAACTTTATCATTAAACGTTCATGTAAAGTTCCATAACCATTTCAGTTGAAGTTTAGCAGGGATTATAAACAATTTATAACCATTATCGGTAAGGTCAATTTATGGTTCGCGCTTATGCGGGTGCTACGCCCTTTGGCGAAAACCCCTCCGTCAACGAAGACACACCAAGGGGGGGAGGTGGCTGTCAAATACGAACAACACAGCAAAAAAAAAATGTAATATCGATCAACGTAATTCAAGCTGATGTATGAAATAATGATGTAATAGCAAAACGCAGATACAATATTACATCAATGGATGTAATTTTGTTCGCAAAATCGATGTACATCGTACAATGTGATATTACACAACCGATGGATTGACCTGGTTGCAGCAGTTTCGATGTAATATTCAACAACTTTTTTTGCTGTGAATCGTCGCCTACCTCGCATAACTGGTTCCAAACGTAAACAATCCATAAGAAACCTACAGCGTTTGTTTACGTTTGGAACCAGTTTCATACAAGATTATCAGTAGGCTGATTTGACAGCACGTCCCCCTCTCCCCAGAGACACACCCAGCGTTCATCGAGAGGATTGCTGAGACGTCAACTGAGTATAATGAATTGAGAACACTTGAAGAGCAAAATTAACCAATCATTACACACAAAGAACAAAAATTGTTATGGTAAAAATTATACACTTTTATTTTAAAAAGTTTGCAAAACTTCGTACCTTTAATAACAAAAATATTCAAAACAAAAGTAACATCTTTGATTTGAAAGTTTTTCTTTCACTTATTAACTCATATATTTAAAAGTTCATTTTTTTAAATAAAAGTTGTACAACTGTCAAACATACCACTTCTTAGCAATGTATTTGGCAGCACTGGACCTTTATTTGCCGCTAAATTTAAAAACAACCGAGGAGAAAATTACTCTGAATTTACGGTAAAGTGTTCAGGATCATAGAAGTCATCAAGAAGTGGCTAACAATTTATTCTGCTCTTCATAAATCTGCCTGAATTCAACTAATGCGGTAAGTGTTGAGATCTTCGAATCGGAATCGATTTGAACACCTGGAGGCAAGACGAAACGACTGATTTCATACAAGCGTTCATACGAAAAATGATCCGTTTCGACTTCCCCAATGAGGCCCCTGTTTTATCTCTAACCATACAAATACTACTGCTTCTAGATTTGCATCATAACAATTATCTGAATAAGGACAACGTGACGAAAATGCTCCGCCATCTACCGAAGAAGCTGAAGCATGTCCCAACCTCTGCTGTTTATTCCTGGTTGGGCTCAAAACAGACGATGCATCCTACAGATCTGAGGCAAGCAGCAGAAATGCTTGGAGTATCTATCAGGATACGTACATATACGAATTTGGGATGATGTCAGTTATAAAAAAAACGTAAAACGCTTCGTCACATCATTGACCCTTATTGGTAAAAGTTCAACAATACAGTTACTTATTGCTAATTTACTTAGTTTAAACAAAATCTTTCAATTTGGTCTTTTTAGGTTTTCAAAACAAAAAAGGAAGATTAATCTGTATGACCCAATGGAAAAGTAATCGAAGATGGTTCAACGAAGGGAAGCGGTAAGCAATTGGTAATATGAAGTTTCCCGATCCACACCAGACCAATGCTAATTGTCGGTCAGCAGCGAATGCAGAGTGCACATTTGTTTCGAGCCCACTGCAAGGCGGAGCCGCGCGTCTAGGGGGAAGCCTTCCCAACGTCATTCGCCACCGACGAATATCTGTTCACTGTAGTTAGATTTGGCCTGAGTAGCCCTTGCTGAAGCTCAATGAAAAACAGAAATATAATACAAAATACTAAATAATAAACATTAATATGGGTTTCATTATTTTTAAGCATAAAAGCAATTGAATCAATAATTATTCATTTTTTAAATGACAATTTAAATAATTGGGATAAAATGTCCGTCTTTTGAATCAAAACTTTTGAAACGCCAATCTAAAAGCATTAGGTTTTCGGTTTGACAGTTCTACAATTCAATTTGAAAGTTTCAACTTTTAAAATTAACAATAATAAAAGCTTTTAATTTGAGAGCTGGCTGACTGTCGTTTTGAAAGCACACCGCTTTCTACCAAAAAGAACCAACGCGAACTTTTATTTCTACCAATGGTTTTTTTAATTTTATTAACGATTATTTTTTGTGTGTACAAACTATTATTATCAATTGAACTATTATTCCTCTTTAGTAACCTTAATAGTAAGTAAATTAGTTAATACCTAACTTAGTGAATTAAATAGCCTAAAATTCGCCAAACAAAAGTGGCTATATGGTAAGCAAATGATATTGCACATTAGAATTGTGAAATCAATTGCAACAATATTTCAGACTATAAATAATATTCATTTCGCATGGTTTGCACACAATTGAATTACGCTAAAGGATTGTACCAAAGTAAGGTACACACTAAGATTTTTTTACTGTATACTGTAATTTTTTACCGTATACGGAACAGCAGAACATTCGGTAAACGGTTCGGTAATTTTGTTTTGTTTTACAGTACATTCAGTAAATTTATCTTCGCTCGTGACCTGTCAAAATTTACTGAACCGCATTGTAAATTAAGCTGAATGATTGGTAAAGTTTACAATAGCACGCTATAGCGTTCCGTAAATTTTTTACCGACCTTTTGCTAAAGTTTTTTTTTTCTAAAGTATTTATATTGCGAACACGGACGCGAATAAAGTTATCATCGGCGGCAAAATGGTAGATGCAGGCTCGGATGCAGGAGATGAACCAGCTACTGGTTGAAAACCTCGATGATTAAAAACTCCGCACACATTGGTTGTTTTTTCATTGCAGTTGTTGACATTCGGCTTATTCCATGGTGACTGGTAACCAGAAATGATTGACCTAGGACTGAATGCAAAATAAAATTCAGTATAGCATAGATCACATAGATTATAGCAAAAAAAAAAAAACTTAAGTACTTACTTTTCACACTGGAGAAACAAAGACCACTCAAACTCTTAATGGTCGCAAAGTTCGAGGTTGACAGCGAGGGTGACAGTATGAATTTTACATATCTGTTCGGTAATTTTTACAAGAATCTAGCATTTGACTACCGTTTGTTTTGGTAAAAGGCTTTATTTACAGTACGTTCGTCACACTTTTTTACAGTATTGTAAAATTGAAGCCATTTACAGTTTCGATCAGTAATTTTTGTTTACAGTTTTCGGTGATTTTCTGAAAATTACAGAAATTCAGCATTTTTCATTGCGGAAAGATGGTAATATAATACATTTTACATAAATATCGGTAAAAATGATATTTTGCAGAACGAGTTCAGCAAAAAAAGTACCGAACACGATTTAAGAAATTTGGTGTGTAATGCATTAATTTATTGGGCAATTGAAATAATGTAACCACTAAATTATAAAACTAATTAAACAGATATTGTAAAGATTCGACAAATACCGGATAGCTTCAGCGGATCTGAAGTAAACACTAAACGTAAGTTAACCTAAAATAACTAAGCTGAACATTATGTAAACTTTGATTGTTTGTTGATGATCTTTAGGGAAATTATAACTCTCTCGAACAAATCACATCATGGACTGTTAAATATCCGGAAAGACCGACCGATTTGTTACCAGTAACAGTTACAATGGCTGAATCATGAATTATTTGAAGCAGCCTTTGCTTATACGTTCTTTTCAAAAGTAACGCTTGAGTTAAGGGATAGGAATTCAGTTTGAATCATTATTTATATTCATATTCGATGGCAGCACTGATCTGTCAGCCAAAACGTCACCGGCCCGCCATCTCGCTTTTCGCCGAGCGCATCATCGTTTGCTCCCCGCTACTCCTCGCAGTTCATATTCAGAATGTGTAAAGTAGTTCCGTGGATTATTGTCGATTTTGAGTCGTGAAAAATGCACTCAAAAAGTGCATGTAAGTAGTGAAATTTCGGTTGAAAAGTGGTGCATTCTGTAGCCCCTATGCAAGTGAGTAATCTGGGAGTGAAATTCAATGGTTTACGCTGGAGTTACGTAAGAAAAAATCATTCGAAAGTCGGGCTATCGAAGTGGATGCGTTTCGATGTGAAGTGAAAATTTTTGATGTCTCGCAAACATGGAGGATTGATTACCTTCGGATGCTACGGTTTCGGATTGACACAGCTTTGGTGTTGGAGAAACTGCAAATATGAAGCGAAGAACCATCAAAAAATAGTGATTGGTGTATCATTAATTTGAGGTCACAATTTGCGATGAGTATGATGTTGACGTAGTGCTCCTTAGGTGTCTTGAAAATAAAATTAGTCCAGGGAAACCAGTGAAACATAACCTTAAAAATAAATAAGGTTGAAGATTGATATGAAATTTACCAATAATAATTTGCTGCTGCAAGGAAGATCTCTGGCTTTGGTCAATTATTTCAAATTTTTGCTTGGGGTTTCGTAGTTGCGGTATTTATCGTCAAGTTGTTATTAGTTAACTACTTGATCCGGTCACTTATTTTCTATGTATGAATCAATAAATGCATAAACAAGTGCATATGAAAAGTAAAGAGGTGAATGTGCTCTACTTAGTGTCAGTTGTATGCCACAATAATTGCCAATACTAAATTACTGTGTTGTAAAAGAAGCAGCAAATGCACATGTGTTTGCTAGAAAGAACCCAAAATTTGCACTTTTTCAGGAATCCAACTCCGGATAATTAGATCAAGATGTCAGTTCATTACAAATTCAAAAGCGCACTAGATTTCGATACCATCACTTTCGATGGGTTGCACATCTCGGTGGCGGACCTGAAGAAGGCCATCGTCCACCAGAAGCGACTTGGGAAAACGATGGATTTCGATCTACAGATTACCAATGCGCAAACCAAGGAAGGTAAATAATCCCTTCTTTACGCTCGGTAACCGGGTAGGAACGTTGTTAATCAATTAGCAAATTCAATTAACAGAATACAGCGAAGAAGCTGCACTAATTCCGAAGAATACGTCACTGATAATAGCGAGAATACCGTTGAAGAATGCACCCAAGAAAAACTGGGCGCCGAAGGATGATAATAATCAGCAGCAGGTTCAGGCACCGAGGAAAGGCCACGATAGTGCATCGGCAGTGCAATCCAATGTTGATCTCTCGATGATGAGTGGAACGGAGGAGGACAAGATTCGCGAGATGATGTTCCAGAGTACGGCGGAATACGATCCAACCAAGTGAGTGATGATAGCCTAAAAATAAAGGAAAAAAAAACTAGATTTAGAATTTGGAACAAGGTCAGTTATATTTGCTCTGGACTGATTCAGAATGTAGTTTGTTAACCTTTTTAACCGTGATTGGTAAATTGACCAATAATAAAACACATTCTATTACACATACCTGTTTACACTCTAATAATCTGATTTAATTCACCAACAATGAGATGTAACTCTTCTTACACATTTGAATTCTGCGACCATTGGGACAACATATTTGGCTAATATTCAGATGCTCGGGAATTGGTCATTATCATACGAGCACTCTGAATGTTCTGTTTCTGTTGGTTCTCATGTGGTAACTGGCTTCTATATATATCCACAATCCACAGTTCATTGCAGTATCTCCTTCTTACGCTCAATTTAAGATTCTCTTCTTCTGATTTTGTAGTTATGGACCTTGTGCAAATGACTTTGTATATTTTTAACCATTTTTAGACACTACTCACGTTTAGGATGGCACTGATAAAATTTCAAAGATTTATTTTCTGTGTCCCACACATAACAAGAAGAGGGTGTAAAGTATGTGTTAGACTCATAAAACCTTCCGCTTTCAGAGCGTCACAATCAGCGATCTTATGATTCGTAAGCGTTCACTCAGAGTGAGCGCTCAGGAGTCGTAAAATCGCTGGTCACAATCACTGAAAGCAATATTGACAGATTTTATGTGTCAAACATATACTTCACGACCTCATCTTGTAACTCACCAATTCCAGTACTCCATCAGGCAGTAGACAAAGAAAAATCCTTAGTTGATAATATATTTTGCTGGGCCAATTGTAGACACACGTATTTTGATACATTCATCTCCACATTCGCATAACAGTCACATATGGATAAGAAGTCAAGCAAGATGGGATTGATATGCGATTGCAATATTATTAAAAATAAAATAAAATGTGTGGGTCAGAAGTAAAGGGTTGCAAGTGACAACCCTGAAAAACTATAAACTCCACGATAGTGGGCTTTCACCAATTATGAACAACTATTTGAGCAACTTGTTGTCTGAGAAATATATGAGCTTTTCTCATGGAAACTCGACAACTTCACGAATTAGTTACATGGGTATTCCCCAGGGCTCATGTTTAAGCCCCCAAAAACTCACATCCTTAAGCTGCTACGGATCCAATACCGTTGCCTTCGTATTGCACTATGCTGTATGCACTCGGCTCATACGATGAGCCTCGAAGTACTCGCGGGTGTTCTCCCACTGACAGATCGTTTCTCATCCGTTGTGAAGCAATGAATCCTTTGGTAATAGAAAACTTTGAGAAGCTGCTCGACCGAAATCCTCACAAGATTCATGATTTTGTACTATGACGCACATGACGCTGGAGGTTGGTCCTTCTTTATTAATCTCCAATCGTGATTGCTTTCAAGCCTTCTATAGTTCCTGTGTAAATTTTGATCTGACCATGATGCAAGAAATCCATGGAATACCAGATCACCATCGGTCGATGGTCGTTCCCTCAATTTTTGCAATCAAGTACCACCATGTAAGTAACGATAAAAGATTTTTCACAGATGGGTCAACCATAAATGCTATTTAATCAATTTCATAGGGCCTCCTATAAATTGCAGAAACCATGTTCCGTATACGTTGTGGAACTCGCAGCTATATTTTACGCAGTAGAGCGAATTGCCTCACTACCTTCTGACCATTATTTCATTTTTACGGATAGTCTTAGCTCATTGGAGGCTATTCGTTCAATGAAGCCGATGAAGCATTCCTTGTATTTCCTGCCTGAAATACGATCTAAACTGACTGCTTTATCTAACTGCTCCTATAGCATCACCTTAGCTTGGGTCCCATCTCATTGCTCAATTCCGGGTAATGAGAAAGCGGACTCGTTGGCTAAGGTGAGCGCTATGGAAGGCGATATTTTTGAGCGACAAATCGCCTTCAACGAATTTTTCTCCATTGCTCGTCAGCAACTCCTCATCAGTTGGCAACAAAAAAGGAATGATGGTGATTTGGAAAGATGGTTACATTCTTTTCTCCTACAGGTGTCGAACAAACCATGTTTCAAAGGGTTGGACATGAGCCGTGACTTTATACGCGTTATGTCAAGGCTTATGTCCAATCACTGTTCGTTAGACTCGCACTTCTATCGAATTGGGCTCTCAGGCAGCAATTTATGTGCGTGTGGCAGTGGTTATCATGATATCGAGCATGTTGTTTGGTCATGTACCCTACACCGTGTTGTCAGAGCTGAGTTATCCACATCCCTCAGGGCCCGAGGAGAACAACCCGCGATACCCGTTAGAGATGTCTTGGGTAGCCGAGATTTCGACTATTTTAATTTAATTTTGTTACATTTAAAGTGTGTTTATGTTACTTCATACGCGAAGTTAGCGATTTTCAGAGTTGGTTGGAAATGCTAACATGAAGCTTTAGTGTGATAATTTATTAGCTAGAGAATGATGAAACGTCACTAAAACTATTCCACAGCCGCAGTCAGCAATGAGCAAAAGGAGGACGCACATCTTTTGCCTGACTTGAAGACATAGTTCAAGTCTCCGCGTACATCGTACGGGTTAGGCAAAAGATGTGCGTTTGACTTTATACTGTCGCATTAATGGCCCTTAGCTCATTTTCAACTTCTATTCAATTTTCATACTGCCGTACTCTGACGGAACTATCCACCTACCATCTTCTAAAGATCATTCTCTAGCTAATAAATAGCATCATTCTCCAGCTTCATGTTAGCATTTCCAACCAAATCTTTAATTTTGTGTTTTTAAAACAGATAGATCTGAAAATTTAGTAGTTAGTGTCATCTTGTGTTTTCCCAAGTTGTTAGCTGCCCATCGGTGTACCCCCATGTTTGTCTTTTTCATCAGTATGTCGCTTAGTTCGAGATCAAGAGCACATTGCTCTCCAAACCTTGTGTTCTCAATCCCTACCCTGCCATCCATTTGTTGCAATTTGTTACCCCTAACCTCTAGACAGCCGCGAGTAATCGGCCCCCGCTTTACTAACGTTAGTTTTAAGTAATTTTGTTATCTAAAGAATGAATATCGGCTCGGCAAAGCTACAGCAAATGAGTCTGGAAAAATAAACGCATTATTAAAAAAAAACCTGAAAAACATGAGAAAACGGCAGTTATCGAGCAGGATGTTATGTACGCCATTTACATTAGTGGATGTCCATAAATTGCGTATACACTGTAAGAGGAGGAAGGGATGTTGATACGTGTGTTTGCCTAAAGGATGTTGTTGCGAACATGGACATCCCTAACGATCGCTACCAACACCAACACTGCTGAGCTCACTGGTAGCAGCTAAGCTGTCAGCATTCCCGCTCAGAACGAGGATCACCAGGTTCAAGATCCCCGAATCAGCGAGGTGCCGTTCCAGCAACGCCTTGTTGGAACTGTGGCGCCATGCACTATTCCAAGGACTGTCCCTTCCTCAAAAATCGGTATAAGGAATGTGGTCAGGTAGGCCACAAAGACGGGTATTGCTCCAGCGCCAAAAAAGTGAAATCTCCAGGTAAGCGCTACTTGTTCAAGCCGATGGTAACCAGAAGCGTGCAGGTGAAGAACGTCCGGAAGCGTAGGAGATTTGTGAAAGCGGAAGTCAACGGCAGGCAGATCAGTCAACAACTCGACACTGCGTCGGATATCAGCGTCATTTCCGAGCAATCATGGCGGCATATAGGAAAACCCACAGCAATTCCTGCAACAATTCAAGCCGCTACTGCATCGGGTAAACCCTTGAAGCTGGAGTTTCAGTGTTCCTGTGAAGTTGCAGTCAAAGGGGAGAAGCATCAAGGTCGATTTTTCGTGGTCAAGCAGCAGCTCAATCTGCTTGGACTGGACCTAATCGACACGTTTAACCTCGGGTCGGTGCCTATGGATCAGTTCTGCAATCAAATCAGCAGCTATCCAACATCGATCAGCTCCCTCCAAGCAGCTTTTCCAGTGGTGTTCAATGATGAACCAGGGTTGTGCTCGATGGCCAAGGTGACACTGGGACACCTCATCGACGGGCGAGGTCTGCGTCCGGATCCAGCAAAAGTTGAATCTATCTGCAACATGCCAGCGCCGACAGACGTTTTTGGAGTTCGATCGTTTCTGGGAGCGATCAATTAGGGGAATTTACGTATTCTCGGCAACCTAAGCAGCGACCTTCTTTATATAGCCTTTTTCTCTAAGGAGCGCACACATATGCAGTATTGGTTTGTTTACAATCTTTTGCTGCCAGCTGCTCTAACAATTTCAGTCGAAAGAATAGTCAAAAACTGTTTTGAAACGCTTTTACAAAGCTCTAATCTTCTCTAGTGAGAGCGAGTATTGTCGGCAACCAGTTTTTCTTCGGCAACCGTTCCATTTGAACTGCATGTAAATCTGCTGTTCTATTATTGGCAACTCGAAATCAGCTACAATTTGTAGTGCGTGTGTTTCATTTCAAGAAAACCTTGCTAGATTGCTTTTTCTCAGTGGTAAAAAATATAGTCAAATTGAAGCTGAAAGCATAAAGAATCGTTTGCATGCATTCAGCGAAGTGATTTCGTAAGAAAATCCAGTGAAAATAGTGTTTCAATTTGGGTTGCCGAAAATAGTCTGGCATGCCGAAGCCGTCATTTCCCCTACTACGGGAAATTCGTCCCGAGTATGCGTACGTTGCGATATCCGCTGGATGAGCTTCTCAAAGCCGACAAGAAGTTCGTCTGGTCAGTGGAATTCTCACCTCAGATTTGCTTCTGACGCACTACAACCCGCAACGCGAGATAGTGGTAGCAGCTGATGCGTCATCGGTTGGAGTTGGTGCGACCATTAGTCACAAGTTTCCAGACGGGTCGATTAAGGTCGTGCAGCATGCTTCTAGAGCACTGACAGCCGCCGAGCAAGCCTACAGTCAGCCAGATTGTGAGGGGCTCGCGATCATCTTCGCTGTGATCAAGTTCCACAAGATGCTGTTTGGTCGGAGCTTCACACTACAAACTGATCATGCTCCACTTCTTCGAATCTTTGGGTCGAAAAATGGCTTCCCAGTCTACATGGCGAACCGGCTACAACGTTGGGCTTTACAGTTGCTGCTGTACGACTTCAACATTGTATACGTAAACACAATGAAATTCGGAAACGCCGATATCCTGTCCCGGTTGATCGATCAACACGTCAATCCAGAGGAAGACTTCGTCGTAGCCAGCATCATCACGGAGAACGATGTAAGATCCATTGTATTAGATGCAATTCCTCTCAGTTTCAAGGCAATACAGCACGCCACCCGTTACTTACCCATCTTGTACTTCGCAAGGTCTACCGCTTCGTTCAGCAAGGTTGGCCACAGTTAAAAACGGCCATTTCGGACCATGAGATCCAGCAATCCTTCAACCGAAGTGATTCGCTATCTACGGTTCAAGGGTGCGTGATGTTTGCCGAACGTTTAGTGATTCCGACTGATTTCCGGATGCGGTACCTACACCATCTCCATCATGGTCATACGGGCATCCAGCGCATGAAAGCGATTGCGCGCAGCTTCGTTTACTGGCCGTCTATCGACTCGTATATCGCTGCGCATGTCAAAGCGTGCTGTCACTGCGCAGTTGCAGCCAAGAGTCCGCCCAAAGCACCGCCGCTGTCGTGGCCCAAGTCGACGTATCCATGGCTGCGCGTCCACATCGACTACGCTGGGCCTATCGAAGGAAAATACTTCCTGCTTAGCGTCGATTCGTACTGCAAATGGGTGGAAATTGTCAGAACCAAGTCGATAACAGCCACTGCAACCATCGGAATCCTACGAAATCTCTTCGTTCGCCTTGGTATGCCATAAACGCTAGTCAGCGACAACGGTACGTAGTTCACCAGTGCCGAGTTCGCACAATCCTGCCTCGAGAACGGTATCGATCACGTGACAACTGCGCCGTTCCATCCGCAGTCCAACGGCCAAGCCGAGCGTTTCGTGGACACCTTCAAGCGAGCGGTCAAAAAGATTCGAAAGAGGAGAAGATCTATTCAGGAAGCACTGGACTTTTTTCTTTTGACCTACAGAACCATACCAAACCTGTCAGCACCAAAAAGCAGATCTCCGTCCGAAGTCATATTTGGGCGCAGAATTAGGACCAGTCTGGACTTACTCCGTCCACCAGGCGTTCGGGAAACGTCTGCTTAAACAGATTCAAGCTCATTCAGTAAAGGTGATCTAGTATACGCCAAGGTGCACTCTAACAATTCGTGGAGATGGGCATCAGGAGTGATTCTGGAGCGAGTAGGACAGGTGCCGACAGTAAGTCAACGTCTGGCTCGATTCCGTTCAAGACAGACAAGCAACAGTTGCCTCTGGGCATCTTACTACGAGCCTGGAACCTGCACAAGCCAACCCAGCCACAACCACCAGGTCCATCCACATCACCGTCACCGGTTGCACAAACGCCATCAACGCTCGAAACGCCGGCTGAGCACTCGACACCACAGCAAGTCTTGCCATCCACGCCAGCTTCTCCGAGCCTAGTTTGGGTTACTCCGAAATCGACAACTTCGTCGACAACAGACCTTGGTCTGCCGTCGTCTACGTCCGTAGTCCCATCGTCCTCTACAACAAGCCCTATGTCACTTACATCAGCAGAAACCGAAACAGATGTCCAGGTACCTCGTCGCTCTTCACGTCTACGAAGACTGCCGATTAGGTTCGACCCGTACCAGTTGTATTGCGAGGGGAGATGTTGGGAAGATGGACATCCCTAACGATCGCTACCAACATCAACACTGCTGAGCTCACTGGTAGCAGCTAAGCTGTCACCCGTAGATGCGATAACCAGCATAAGAAAGAAGAATGCCGGCGCCGGTGGTGTAGTGGTAAGCGTGACTGCTTTCTCACACCCCAATGGGTCTGGGTTCAATCCCAGCCGAGGTCGGTGGGATTTTTCTGAGGCATAAAAATCTCTGGTCACTTCTTCCTTTGGAAGGGAAGTAAAGCCGTTGGTCCCGGCCCATGTGTGTTGAATGGGTGCGATATCCTACGCAGGTGTGGAAGCTGCTTTCCTGCACATTCGATTGCCTTCAATGGATGGCAATCGATGTCCGTCGGTGATTGGCACTAGATTGCGGAACAGAGACCGACGGTAAATAAGGAATGAAGAAGAAAGAAGAACAACACAATATATCCGGAGTGAATCGTCACACGTCAATCGCCGATTTCTCGTCAATAAAAGCTCAATCTCGTAAACTAACTATACCAAATCAGGCATAACATTTGATAACGGCACAGAAGCATTTGTAAACAAACATTCTAAAGCCCTTTACACGCGAACCAAAGTACGCCCACGCAAACCAATACCACTTTTGGAAAGGTGATAAAAGCCCCTAGCCGACGATGTTGTTAGTTTGCGTGCTTTGGTTCGCGTGTAAAGGGCCTTAAAAAGTTTGTTTACAAATGCTTTTGTGCCGTTATCAAATGTTATGCCTGAAATGATAGAGGAATCATTCCTCTACCTCATAGTGTTGTTAGTTTTCGAAATTGAGATTTTATTCGCGAGAAATCGACGATTGACGTGTTTGTTTACAAATGCAATTACGCCCAAATCTCAAATCACTCCGAATATATGTTCGAGTCCGTCATCAAGTCAATGTATACTTTTAGTTCGTCATTTTAATAAAGTTTTATTTGCTAGTTTACGTTCGCGTTCATTTTATTGTACATGATGTACACGGCCATCCCGTTAGCGAGTTCGTAACAGATGTTGATCGATAACTGTCGATACGCAGACGTCTACATTGCTAATTCACCATTGCTGAATTTATCGATCAGCAACCCTGGCTCATATTATCTCATAACTAGTAATCATATATATAGAGATTCGCGGAAGCGGCCATCTTGAGCCAATTAAGCTGTGAGAACTATCAAAATATGAGCCAAACCAGGATGTTCATCGTTTACCAGAATTATTCAGTTGAAAACTATTGTAATTGGGGCGAAATAAATTCAAACAAAAATTTATAATAAAAAAAAATATTGAATTGACAATTGGATGACTTTAGTTTTGAAAGCTAACCGCTTTCTACCACAAAGAATCAACGCAAAAACGTTTAATTCTACCAATGTTTTTTTTTTAATTTTTTTTTTTATTTTACTAAAGATTATTTTGTGTGTGTGTGTAAGAGAGTTTTTGATATTGTTGGTCAAAAGCATTGTGACGTCAAATCACGGAATGGTTTATGCACAACATGCATTTGGTGCTGATGAACCGGGACTGCTCCAGGCAGTTTCAAAATTTTCCCACCTTCTTTAGCAAAATACAATAGCGGGTGCTCGAAGTGTTACCGAAAGAAGCATCACATTACTGCACAAACGGGGAAAATCCGGCGGTAGTCCACAAAACTCATTCCATTTTTCACGAAGTTCAGTGCTTTTCGGAAACCGGAAAATATTCACATTGTCACACTTCGTTGCATTTCCACGACTGCGGCTACTGTGTTACCTGACTTATAACGAATATACGTTGTATACAAGTACCCCGAATACAACGTATAGTTCGTCTAATTTTACGTTGCAAATGCTATGCTATGAGTCATACGTTGTATTCGGGGTACTCGTATACAGCGTATATTCGTTATAAGTCAGGTAACACAGAAGGGTAAAACCGAAGACAACATATCAAGAAGACTGGCAACTTTGCCTGAATACGAGCGACAGACACAGTAGCGCTGTGCTCGAGCGAAGGTGGAAGCAACGTATAGAAGAGTGAGCAAATGCACAAACCTTTCTTCTGAGGATGGAACCTTTGTTATCCAATTGGTTCGGAGCATTTACCTTTGAGCGGCAGATGACGCGATTGTGCCTGTCTCATGCCGGTCGTTTGAGAAAATGGAAGAGTTGTCAGTTTTCTTGATATGTTGTCTTCGGTAAAACTTAGCAGTGTACTTCATATTCAATAAATGTTATTTAAAATTTAAGGAAAAATAGTTCACTAGTTCACTGAGAATTCAAACAACGTACACGAACGTAAGGAACGCCAAAGTCACACACAAAACTGATACATTTTGCTCCGCGGCAAGTGTTGGCAGCTTTTGTAAACAAAATAAATCACGTTGCCAAATCGTTTGATAATATTTCTGCGAATCTCTGTATATAGGATTACTACTTATAACAGTGTATGTATGTCGCTTACATCAATTTCCTTCTGACCCCCTCAAATGTAGTCATTCGATGTTGTACACTAATACTAATGCACTCGGAATCCAGGTACCTATACCATTCCCTGCTAATGGTTTACCTAATTTTGCTGAAACGATAAACATAAATGTACTACTCCTGTCCTGTTTGATACCTACAGATTCCAAAAATGTTGCTTCAGTTTAAACAAGGAACTACTGTTATAGAACGATTTGTCGTGATGCTCTTCTACTGTTAAACTATCTAATCATACTGTATTATATTGAACTGAATTTATCGTTTCGCATAGTTAATAAATATGTATGTTATTTCTTTTACAACTGACGCTTTTACTCGGAATTAGGTTTAAACACAGGTAAACCAGGAAGATCGGTTTAATATCCATTAATTAAATTATAGAACCTCACTCTTTTTTATAATTTTATATGCTAACAACAATTTTCTTTTATTTTGCTCGTTTTCACTAGCTATCAAAAAATTCGAGGAGCATCCCAAACTGGTGAAGTCCCAATCAATTACAAGTGCTATCGCTGCAATAAACCAGGTCACTGGATTAAGAACTGTCCTCTCGGTCCATTGGTAAGTATTTGTCATTCATCAGTCCCAGTTGTGTGTGAATTCGTTTTATTTACTGTCTCATTTTTTTTAACTAGCCCAAAGAAGCAATGGAAGTGAAACGTACCTCCGGTATACCGCGTTCCTTCATTGAACGGGACAAGGATCCGGAAAACAATCCGATCATTCAACCGTCGCAGGTTCCCCCGGAGGAGAAGCAGGTCATTCCGGAGGATTTAATCTGCAGCATCTGTAAGGATTTGTTTACCGATGCGGTTATGATTCCCTGCTGTGGGAGTTCATTCTGCGATGAGTGTGTTCGAACGGCACTCTTGGAATCCGAGGATAACGAGTGTCCCGATTGTAAGGAAAAAGGATCTTCGCCGGGCTCATTGATTCCAAATCGGTTTCTGCGTAACTCGGTGAATGCTTTCCGCAATGAAACTGGTTATATAAAAACTGTACAGAAAGGTAGATCTGAATGACCTTGTAGCATTGTTTGAGATTTTACTAATTGTTGTTGATTTGTTTTCATAGCGGCATCAAATAAACAAACTAAACCAGCAGAGGAACCTCCGACTGCTCCGGTGGAATCAACAACAACAACTATCAATGTTACATCCGTGTCAACCACTTCAAGCGCTGACGTTGATGGTGAGCAGCAACCTTCTGAAAGTGCTGGTGACGATAAGCACGAAACCTGTGACCAGTTACAGGAAAGTTACGAGGATGTATCCCAACATGGGGATATTGATTCTCCCCCAGCAGATGATAAAGGTTAGTAGACTTTGGTACTTTTGAGTAAAAATATGCTTATTAAAAAAATAAAATAAACATTACAGCATTCGATAACGAGTCGGATTATGAGGATAATATAACGGTTACCGTACCGCCAGCTCATCTCCAGAGCCGAGGTGCTTTTCGAGGGCACTTCAATGGACGGCAAGCTCATCATCGTCATGAAACGCCTCCCATTGGGCGGGAATATGCTCCCCAATATAACAGTGGCAACAGTGCTAGTGGTGGAAACAGGATTGCTGAACAACAAGGAACCGAGGAAGGCGGTTCACGAACTCCGAAAGTTGAAGAAAAGGAAAGCAGCTATAATGTTGCTCCTGCAGCTGGTTCTAAACATGATTACGAGACAAGATCTCCGGATTATCATCAGCCAGCTGCTAGAGGACCGATGCCCATGCCGCCGCATACTCATCCACCCCTTCAACAACCAATGGGAGCTCATCCACCGCCCCATGCAGGTTACATGGGACAACAGCACCCGGGTCCCGCTGGTCCTTATCCTGGCCCTCCTCCGCATGGAGCGCCGCATCCGTACCCTGGAGGATACGGAATGCAAGGTGGTTACCCTCCTCAGCGTCCATACGAACATCATGGCGGTGGAATGTACCATGGTGAACGCCCTAGAATGATGTATCCACCTCGTGCCGGATATCCTCCGCATCCTCCCCACATGAGACCCCGCCATATGGCTCCAATGGGTCCAGGAGGTTATCCCGGGGTACCAAACGTCGGACCTGGGTATGTGTTGTTTCTAAATCATTTGTGCGTTGCTTTATCAAATTATAACCTTTATTGCAATTACAGCGTTATTGACGATCCTCTGGAAGCATTTAACCGCATCATGCGTGAAAAGGAACGCCGCAAAGAGCAAGAAGCAAAACAGGCGGCAAACCGCCATCGTTCTCCGCACGCGGATCGGAATCGTCGGTCCCGATCGTTTGATAATAGCGGTAATAATCGACGAGGTCGGTCTACAGAACGCGAACGGCGGCGATCGCCGCGTGGTAGTGGTGCACGGTCACCGGATCGACGTCGTACGCCTGACGACAAGCACGGTGACGAACGGGAACGGGACCGTGATCGGGATCGCGATCGTGATCGCAATGGAAGGCGCAGGAACCGCTCCAGTTCGTACAGTTCCAGCGGATCAAGGTCGTATTCAAGGTAAATAGTTTGACTTCTAAGTAAAACTTGTTTTATGCGTTGCCTAACATTGAGGTCTAAATGCAGATCGCCAGCCACCAAGAGAGGAAAGTCACCGAAACGGCGCTCACGTAGTCCCTACCGGGAGCGTCGATCGAGAAGTCGATCCAAATCGTTTGAAGACAGAAGGTAAATAGGAATTGTTGTTTGTAGTTATCTATTAACATTTACTAATATAGATTTCAAAATGTATTTTTAACTTCAGGCATGGTAAACACAACAAGGATAGAAGAGAAGAACGTCGCGATGACCATCGTGGTGAATATCGGGACAATAGAGAGAGATCTCCCGGATTCAACTCTCATTATCAAAGGTACGTGACGTTTATTAGACAAAAAATCAGTTTTTTAAACATGGGCTTTAAAAAGCAAAGTTGCTGTTTATCTTTTGAATGAGACTGTATTAGTATTTTCAGTGGTGGGATTATTCCTGATATCAGAATATTTATGTATATCTGTGTGTTAAACAGGTAGATGAATTTGATGGATATGAATCATTTAGATTATGCTTCTGTCGGCAATGGGAAACGAGTAGCTTCCTAGGACAAGACCTGTCAGCTCAGAGATAGATTCCCTAATGTAATTTATGTTTGACTTTACACTTGGCTACTCCAGTGTTGCCAAATATGTTAATAAAAATGTTATATTAAATACACATCCATTTCTACTCACCGTCCAACAGAGCGGTGCCAATTTGAATAATTCAGGTTCCATTTGGATTCCTCTTACCATTCAAGAAATTAACCTACCATTATCAATCAACCCAAATGTTGATAACTCAGTTAATTTAACTTACAATTTACACTTAGGGGAACTAGGGGCAAGAAGGTCATCCGGGACAAGAGTGCCACCCTCAATATATTTTGAAAATGAAATCTTTTCAATTTTATCTCACGATGAACTTATGCACGGTATTCCTATAAAGCATTCTAAAAAGTTCTGTCCGAATCAAAGTCGTAAAAAAAATGCAAAAAATCATTTTGTGTTGATGCATTGAAAAGCTAGTTTTTTATAAGAATAAGGCATCATAAAATAAGGTTTTCGGAATTTCCAATTTATTTTTTTCACAATTTCTGCATTGAGACATCACTATTGATGGTTGTTTGATACATTAATAACAATAAATTATTAAATATTTTGTTTAACTAATCAAAAATTATATTCCTAAAAATAAAATTTATACGGGGCAAGAGTGCCACCCCTACATTTATGTATTAAATTGTACAAAAATGTTCAGAAATTAACACAATTGGGCATTTATGTTTCCAATATACATTGTTTCCGTGAAATTTTGGAAAACAAACTGTATAAAATAGTATCAAAAATAGTTTCCATTTGAATCTTTGACGCACATGGTTTATATGTTTTAGATATAAAAAAATATATCGTTAAGTCAATATTTTAGTGGAATAAACAATAAAAGCAGTTGCTGTCATACCTAAGAATAGTAATTTGTTGTTTAGAAATGAACATTTATCAGTTTCACTTCATTTTAGACATATGGTCTTTTTGTCCCATAAGATTCCGGCCTTCTTGCCCCGTAGCATTTTTTAGAGCAGGTTCGACATGACATTTTGAAAAAATCATTAACATTTTTTGATGGGGTTTAATTTTAATTTCAATGATGATACATGGAGACAAGGTTATAAACTTACAATTCGATTCACAAACTCCTATAAATATTCACGGAATCACATATAAAAACGCGCTATCGTTAAGGTGACCTTCTTGCCCCTAGTTCCCCTACGCAGCACATTCGCTGTGGTGAGAAAGCTTAAAAAGGAATATCTTCCTCGTTTGCGTTTCCCAAGCAGACATTAATCCACTCCCGGCGAACAAGTGGATCCTTTGGGAACTGATAAACGTGATGCTCGGGTTTCTCTAATAAAGTTTGTGCGGTTATTTTGCTTAACGACATGTTCTGGGTTCATCCACACCATTTGTGGCATAATTCTGTCATTTGGGTTATCGTTCGGGTTTTTTATTAGGGTTGATGCAGGAAAATGCGGAAAAACACTGTAAAATAAAGCAAACATTTGTATGCGGTCAGCTGCCACTTTGTCAGCAACAAAAATGAGAAGAATTGCGAACTGCTGCATCGTAATCATCGATTTCATTTATTATCTAAGTTGGAACCAGTTCCAACCCAGTGCAAAACCAAAGTTTATGGCAGTGCGAACCTCAACCTGAGCTATAGGTTTTAAAAACAAACGAGCAAACTGACGTTTGTCAGAAACCAAGCAGACGCTATCTTGATATCCGATCCAGGTTGGAACTGAATAATAAACGAATTCGGTGACGGCCTTTTCTGACAGGTAAATGGTCTTATTTTTCACTAGCAGCTAGCGGTTCCTGTCCTATAGCTCCCATTCCGCTAAGGGGCTGTCCACATACCACGTGAATAGTTTTTAAAAGTTCTTAGACCTCTTTTGCGTGAACAATCATAATTTGTATGAACCGTGAACGCTCATCAACTCTTCCCCTTAAACTGTCCATGTGGTATAAGGACAGTCCCTAATACACTTTTCTAAGTTTTCATAACAAAAAATCAACAAATACATTCATGAACACATATCGCTGTAATAGAGATAAAAAAAAATGAATTTACTAACCGTTCGACCATCTCAGATGAATCAATTTACTGGAAAATATATACAGGTAGACGGGGCAAGATGGCCACCCATCAAAAGTCTTATTATTATTTTTTTTAAACTTTATTAGAGAGATTTTTAGCCGTTGGCTAGTTCATCTCTATAAAATGGGAGGCCCCAGAGGGGGGTTCCGCCAGCAAATTTTGTTACGGAGGCTTACAATTCACATGTTCCCAAATAGAAGCAATTAAAACAGATTCCAGTAAAAAGACTAACAATACAGGCAACGAGAAGAAAAAAAAAACAATCTGGTACATCAAAGTTAGGTAGGGTTTTGAAAGAGATCGGAGCTCCACCGTAGGAGGGGTAATCCCCCGTCCGGTAGAGATGTACCGTCAGCCAAAAGAAAGTTAAAAGGACCTAAATGTTGTTGTATAACCCTGCGTCCTTGAGGAAATAAATAACTATCGCTAAAGTGGAAGGTTCGTCGCCCAGTATCCCTAATGCTGTTGGAAAGTGCGTACTGCTCCCTTAGTTGTTGGTATTGCGGACACAGGCATAGGATGTGTTCCACCGATACAGTGGTTCCGCAAACGTAGCACGTTCTGTGGAACTGCGTCCCACCAAAACTATGTGAGATCCTTGTATGGCCTGTCCTAAGACGAGAAACCACCTTCTGGTCCCGTAGTTTCGACATATCCGTCCACTTGCTCGTCGTTCCTTTGATTCTTCGGATGAAGAGGGATTGGGATTGGCACCACTCTGCTTCCCAGGCTTCCCACATTTTGCTGACTATCCATCGCTTTATGTCCTGTAGTGGCACTTCGTCGGTGTAATGGGGGCCAGCTGGTCCAGACCCTGCCAGGCTGTCGGCTTCGCTGTTGCCTGGGATACCGCAGTGCCCAGGGATCCAGGAAAACACCGTGTTGGAAGGTGTGGCCTCCACAATACCCTATATCCAGGGGTGAGTCATGGTCTCCGATGTAAGGGCTTGTATCACGCTGTACGAATCGGCTAGCACCAGTAACGGCAACAAAGATGGCCGCAGCTTCGGCGGAGAAAACCGAGCATTGTGGTGGTAGGCTGCTACTCATCGGTGCTGAAATTCCGGCTACTCCAATTCCGACCCCGGCTCGGGAAAGCGATCCGTCTGTGTATATGTGGGCATGGGTTGGATAGTCCGAGCCTAGCAGTTCGGCTATTGTTCTTTTCAGCGCTGCAGAGTTATCTCCAGCCTTGAACATGCTTTTTATCCGACTATCGATTTTTGGTGGAGGTATGCGCCAACTTTTGTCTCCGTACCAGTGGACCTTGGCCACTGGGGGGAGCTCCGAATTGGCAGTCATGCGGAGGAGTCTGTTCCCCTCAACGAGGAGAAAGATTCTGTCATTTCCGGAGGTCATTGCGGTAAACGCAGCGGCTTTCGTTGAAATTGCTGCGGTTATACGATGGGGGAAGGGCAGAATACCCGCTTCGATGCATGCGGCATCGGCGGGCGTTGACGGAAGAAGACCGGAGACAATCCGAACGTAGGTGTTAAAAGTTGGTGCTAGTATCTGCACGAGCTTTTCGGTGGTGATGCACGTCATCTCAAGACCGTACAGTAGGCGACTATCGATGACGGCTCTTGCAACCCGGAAACGAGTGTCACGATTGTTAGACCGGTGGGGGCGAGAGATAGTGCGGATCAAGTTGATCCTACTGCGGCAGTTGTTCTTGATCGCCTTAAAGTGCTGCTCGAAGTTGAGGGACCGGTCAACAAGTACCCCCAGAATACGGACCGTCTTCTTCAGTGGTATGGGCTGGCTTTGAACTTTAATAGGTGGCCCGCTGACACGGTGCCGGGATGGACACACGTGGCACCTGACGCTTTTCGTGGCCGAAAGCTGGAAATCTACCGCGCTGGCCCACCTGGATACAGCGGAGACTGCTGCCTGGGCCTTGATCCTGTTGCGTGTTGCTGTTGGGCCGGTAGTTACGATAAGTACATCGTCTGCGAACACAAAAATGTAAACATTTCGGCAGTCCTCCGAAAACTCCGTTCATGGCCACAAGGAAGAGGGTAACGGTGATAACTGAAGTCTTATATTTTTGAAAACTGCTCATTTGTACCTTTCAACAATGATCCTAGGAAGCAACGTTACAAAAATGATTTAGAAATATTCAATATTTACCAAGATATTGATGAAAATGTGCCGATCGAATAAAATCCTCTCTTTGTAATAAGAATTTACAATAATCAATAACCCTTTTTATTACGTTTGCTACAACTTTTAATTAATGTGTCAACGTGGTGCTGGTATTTTGTTTTGGTAACCTAAGAAATATAATCGTTAAATAGTCAAAAATCTATCTTCTATAAATATAAAAATGAATTTCTGTCTGTCTGTCTGAACCTTATAGACTCTCAATGAACGTGTTTGCTTACAAAGAAGGCAATTAGTAATTATGCTCAAATCTCGAATCACTCCGGCATTGATGAGATTAAAAAATAACCACTTGTCTGGGTGGGGACCTATAAGAGATAATGAGATGGAGAACAAGTTTTTTGATTGATTTTAACAGCATCTTCTATTTGAAAGTGCTTGCCTCGATACCGACATTTTGTATCAAACATCAAGGCGACAATAATATACCGAACAAAAAATTAACGACATATGGCATACAGTACTTTCCCGATTTTGTCAGCCCCATCTGAAATTTTAGGCTGACAAAAACGGGAAGCTGACAAAATCAGGATTTTTTTCAATATGTTAACCTTTAAAACGATTTTGAAATCAAGATTAACTATTATTTATCCACTATTAATGGACTTACTGATAAACGTCTGAAAAAGGCAAAACTGTTTGCGTATACGAGCAAAGTTAGAGAACAAATTGAAATCAGAATTTTCTGTTATGATGTAACTTATTTTGAATACTCCATTTGATTTCATTTTGGTTGACTTAACGGTAAACAAAGCAAAAATGAGAGCAAAATTTTACACTGTTGAATCAAACGGAAAACTAATCCTGCTTTCAATGAAATCAATTTAATAGCTGATTTTGCATTCATAATGTTCAACTGAATACGGGCCTGGCATAAATGGTTAGCATCCATGCTTTTCACGCTGAAAGACTTGATCTCAAATCTCACCTCGGTTTACGAATGACCTAAAATATGTTTAACAAAACAAATAAACGACAGATGAACTTAAATCAAATTTTAAACAAGAAATTAATAGCAGAACTTCAAGTTAAGTTGCTTTGATTTAAAATGCCTTGACTGCATAATGAAAGCACAATATGAAATCAGACTTCTGTCGCGACAATTGAAATCAAAATGAGTTTTCATTATGATAGGAACTGCAAACTTTAATATCGATTTGCTTTCATTTTGTTAACCGACTTTGCTCGGGTACTGAGCTGGTATGTACTGATCAGTTTCCTTAAACTCTGCTTGGTTTCTAGCGCTACAACCAAGGCTGCCCCTCTATAACTCAGTATCGACGTAGATACACTAGCCAGGAGCCGTCTCTGGCTGCTGCTTGGGATGGCCTTCGTCGCCTTCTCGAAGTAGTATTCGACGTGGCTGTGGCTACTGAAGTTAGGCGGTCGTCGATCATCAATCACTCTTAGGTATTTCAACACGCGCTTTGAGGCTATGGCCGCATCGCGACGCGATGCGACTCACACAAGAAATAATAATATTCTTTTGAATTGATCGCGTCACGTTGTGTGTCGTGTTTACTTTGGTCGCGGCCTATGACGTTATCCCCAACGGTGATATCTGTCCGCTGCACTGCTATAAAGTTACTGACCAATAGCGTTTTGTTGTGGGCTATGTGCAGCTTTACTCCTTGCATCAAGTTTCCAATCATGTCGATCGCCAACATTTTCATCTCTTTCAGTGTCTTGCCTGGTACCGTCAAGACAACGTCTCAACTCCTTTGGGCAGCTTCAGCGTTAGCACGCCGTTGTACATCACGTTGAACCGAAGATGGAGCCTTGTGGAACTCCCACCATGATGCTAATCGATGTCTATCCCTTGTCCGCCTCGTAGACAGGGACTCGGTTCTGGAAGTAACTCCTTAGAATCCTGCACAGGTAGTCAAGGACCCTCGTTCTATGGAGCACTTCGACGATGGCCTCCCAGCTGGTGCTGTTAAACGCTTTCTTGACGTCGATCGTTATCATGGTTATGAATATAGAACTCCTCCCCGCTTCTGTTTGGACGCCTTCTCGGCTCTCTCGACCACTATCTGAATTGCATCCACCGTTGCTCTCCCTTTTCGGAATCCGAACTACCTCTCCGACAATCCGTTCATTTAGTCAGTCTGTTTAGGATGATCCTTTCCAAGAGTTTTCCAAATATATCCAGCAGGCATATAGACTCATATGATGCTGGATCCTCCGGCGGTTTCACTGGCTTCGGCAGCAACACTAGCTTCTGTATCTTCCATTTGTCAGGGAAGTGACCCTAGTCCAGGCATTTCTGCAGCCTATGTCCGAGGACGCCTGGATCGCCGCTTTCAAAATCACGTTGGCGATTCCATCCAGACCGGGAGCTTTCTTCACCATCCTTCCTTACGCCACTGCTATGAGTTCCTCGTTAGTGACTTCGAAGCTATCTCCTTCTCCCTCTCTGTATGGTGTAGGTGGTCAGGTCGTTGGGTCGTGCTTCGGGAAAAGTCCTTCCACGATGACTTTCAGCTTCTCTGGGCACATTTCAGCGGGCATCGTTTGACCTCTGATCATTGCCATCACGACACGGTAATCGTCATAGCTCCTAGAAACAGTTTGACTAGCTCTGCTTTATTTCTCGTTTTTGTGCCGCCCTGGCCACTAGGAACATTCCTCTACATTCCTCTCTGTCTGCTTCTGTTCTTGCTCTCTGAACTGCTAAGTGTCTCGTTGTACTAGTAAGCTGGACGCCGTCTGCTATTTGGCTCCAGTTTCCTCGGCATGGTCATCTTACTCACTCTCACTAACGTTTCTGTCAGCTCGTCTGCGTTCAGATCCGCAGGGCCCCTGTCCACATGCAGTGCTTCAATGAAAAAATCCTTGTCAAAAGCTTTCGTCTTCCACTTCAGGTCGCAAGTTCTCGTCCTCCGTACTGCCAATGCCATATCGGATCGCCTGATGGTCGCTATGGTTATAACCTTCGCATACTGTCCAATTCATGTTTTCCACCAGCGATGGACTGCAGACAGTGACGTCGATAATAGACTCCCCGCCATCTTTGCGAAAAGTGCTGCTGGTGTCTTCATTGGACAGCCCAACTTAAAGCTTTGCCAGAGCTTCCAGCAGACTGTGCCCTCTTGCATTGGAACATCTGCCCAAGCATTGAAGTCTCCTCCAATGACTACCGATCTTCGTTCGATCAGCTCTTCGGTAAGTCCATCCAGCATCGTGGAACTGCTCTATCGTCCATCTAGGTGGTGCGTAGCAACTGCATATGAAGATTCCGTGATCACGAAACCTTCTTCTTGAATGGGGTACCTGTCCATAACTTGTATTGCAGCCATACCAGCTCTTTCAGCCACCTAGTTACCGTTATCGGGAGGGAGTCACTACGGTTCCGCAATGATCGCAACGTCGCACTTTGTTTCCGTTGTCAACTGCCACAACAGCTGTGCAGTGTCGCAATGATTGAGGTTTATTTGGGTTATCTCCGTTACTGTTGTAACAAAACAATTAATTGCCATTTGGAGCGAAATGCTTGAGAATCCATGCTTTAAAACCATAAAGTACAGCAAAATCTGTATTCTAACAAAATCGGGAGAAAAAAGCTCACAAAATCGGGGGTAGACAAAATCGGGAGCTGACAAAATCGGGAAAGCACTGTACATGATTGAAATTACCATCGATATTAAAAAAACACTACCAGGCGTACCAGGCTTAAGGCAGCATTGAGGGTTGTTACTGGTGTCAAAGACTCGCAGCTTTTGGTCTTTAGAAATGATCGCAAGACATTTTACGTTGCATTTCTGCAGAAAATCTTTGACAAATCTCCTTTAATATATCCGCTTACGAGATCATTTCATGTCCTGAAATAATCGCGGAATCACCGGAAACAGCCAAAAAGGAGGCTGTCTTTTGTTTTGGACCATCTAGCGAAAAGACAATGACCGATAAAATTATGATCGAATATCGCATTCTACTAACTGTACCATATGCAAAATCGGCGTTCACTGCATACAGCAGGGAAGAGCAAAGACTGGATGCATTCACTATCATTTTGTTGCACGGAAATGCTGCTTTGGAACGTGGTTTTACCGTAAACAAAGACTGTTTGGTGCGAAGCAAATTTAGGAAAGTTTGGTTGCGCAACGAATTGTTTATGATACCATTCTGAATCAAGGAGGAATCGAAAAAGTTGTAATTTCAAAAGGTTTAATCCAGTATGCACGAAACGCACATCACAAAAACCAAGAATCACTGGATCGAAAGAAACAGGACTTAAACTTTAAAAAAGGACCTTACTTAAAAATCTGTGTAAAAATTCGCGTTAAAAACCATGTAAAGAATAGACCGCGTTTTTTGCGACAAGACTATCATAACATGAGATTCCTTTAGGAAACATGCATAAAGGACGTAGCGTTCAACAGGGAGGAGAGGTTTCAGAACTTGTGACCGGCCATGTATTACCTATAGTAAAATACGCTACGAGGGGGAAGTTGAGCGATCTATTTTAATTTGTTTATGGTGCAAGGCCAATAGTTTTGGGTTTTTATTGATTTAAAAGTTTATTTTCGCCAACACTTTACGTAATTATAAACTTTTGACTGATAACTTCCAAAAACACATGGATACAAACGCTAGACGCATTGAATTAGATTGCTTCAACTATCCGATATTTAGTCTTTTTAGACTGTCTACTCGCAAATCGTTATTTGTTACAGGGCTACGCATAGCAATACATGCCTAAATTTACGCTAGGTTTAACGAACGCAGAACTGCAAGAGTTTCTAAAAGCTATAATTTTTTTCCGTCCAGCAGCTACCGCGGCCGTGGAGGTAACTACAGAGGTGGCCCACGTGGTCGTGGCAGCAGCCGGGACGGTGGCTATCAGTCACACTTCTCCCGGGGTTATGATCGTGGTCACCCGCAAGGGCCACCGGTGCAGGCGCCCCAGCACGATCAGTACGGCCACCCAATGGGACCGGGACCGAATGAGTACCACCACCATGATCCATCACATCACCACGGCGTGCCACCGGGGGTTGGACCGGGCAGTATGCCACCACACGGTGTACCCCCGGTTGGACACTATGCGCCACCGCCTCAGCAAGCGATGCCCCCGAGTACGGCGGTCCCAAGCAGGTACTGTGTCCTATTTGTCTTTTCTTTGTCTAGTACCATTACCGTTTTGTTTGCGTTTGCGCACAGTTGTTGGTGCGCTCTGATGACATTAAGTTACCTAAGCGGAAAGCACTTGCTTTCGCGTATGATGACAAGTAGTATGATTGAGTTAAAGTTGAACAATCGATTGTATTCGATCGAAGCGACGATTCGTTGCACTGTGGTTTGAGTGAGATAAATTGTCGATATTTTACTGTTTTATGAAACATATGAAGGGTGAACATTTCACTGCCATGTGGATGTTGAACATGACTGTCACGATTGTACCATGAGTAACAACCTACCTGACGATAGTTTAAGATGAAACCGTAGACTGTGTCAGTCTTATTATTATTATTAGGTTCTAATGTGTTAGAAATAAGTGTAACATGTATGTAAGGAACTGATTGTAATCGGGGAATTATTTGATTGGTATATGTACGTTGGAGCGTTCCGGATTTTAGACTTCATATGATTTATAGCTATATACTTGGCTTGGCGAAGCGATTTGAAATCTTCCAAATATGTTTCAAATATGCTCGGAATTTTTCTTAGCGTTTTACCACAACCAAAAGTGTAGCGTTTCAAACTATTATCTAAATCTAAAGTCGTTGCTGAAATCGACTACAAAATCGAAAATGATATGCTTTGATGTGATTTTCAAAAAATCAGTTTCATAATAATAGGTATACAATTTCGAACGCATCAACTTTTCGCAAGTCTTATGGCAACATAATGAAGTATTGATGTACTAACAGCGCGAAGATATTTTGATTGTATCCTGCTGTAAAACCAAGTAGACTCTTTCGCAGCTCACAACAAATGCATTTCAGCAACCTCCTTTACTGCCGGTGGGCGCATAATTTTCCCATGTTATATGAACTTTCATTTGGGACATGGGATAATTAGGGTTCCACTGGCAGTTAAGCAAAAGACGAAATCTATCCCAGTAGTAAATTTGGCTTTAGAATCTTTGTCATCATCCCACGATCCTTATTTCCATTTCAGCTTCAGCCTACACACAACAGTTTCCATATCGCACAACAATGCGTTGTACGAATCGATCCATTTCAGATTTCCCTCAATCCAAACTACCGTCGTATCCGCGGGGCACGCTTACCAACATATGTACTGACAAATAACTCCCCGACAGCCTGTATTTTTACGCGCTCTGTTGTAGTTTTAGCACATATTGTGTTTTTAATGCGTTCCTTGTTATTTATATATATTTTTTTGTTCAACGAAAAATGACTATTGTAAAACATGTAAAGTGTCCTCTGGAAAGACATTTATTGTTAAAATGAAATGATTTCAATTGCAACTCCAAAACAGAAACCAGTTTTAAGAACGATTCTTAGAGTAGACGCATCTTAAATGTGCTCTGATAGAAAGAGTGTTGATTGCAGGTAAAACGAAAATTGAAACGCTTCCTTCCCTCTAGTTAAAAGGCTCACCCAACAAAGACATGTCCTTAGAATAAAGGTTATTATAATTTAAAGGAAGTAATATTCTAGATTATTCAGTTTCTGAGTAGGTTTTCTGGTAATTGTTCGATGAAACCTTTACTGCCTATAATCGCATATCAGTCCCATATGGATGTTCGTCAATTTTGAGATAACAACGCTATCCACTTATTATTGGTATCTACTTTCATATTATGTGATAAAACTACGGACTTTGATCATGGAAAATTTGAAAACAACCTTAAATTCAAGCGTCCAGAGGCAGGGTTACTTCCACTCACTTGCTATAAAAAAATGTTTTTCGGAATTATGAAATCATGATATAGTATAATGCTAATTAGTACTTGTAAGTTACAAGAAAATGTCATGAAGTATATTTTTGACACATAAAATCTGTCAAAATTGCTTTCAGTGCGTCACAATCAGCGATTTTACGACTCGTGAGCGCTCACTCTGAGTGAACGCTCACGAATCATAAGATCGCTTATATTGACGCTCTGAAAGCGAAATTGACAATTTTGTGAGTCAAACACACACTTTTCACCCTCTTCTTGTTACTTGCAAGTAGAACATATCATTATATCATCTAATGATTTCATTATTCCGAAAAACAAATTTTTATAGCAAGTGAGTGGAAGCAATCCTGTCCAGAGGTGAAGTTACAGTTCTGTTTTTCGAGTTGCCGTATTTTTCGCTGGTATAACATAATATGCAAGCTTCAATAGAACTGATTTAACTTGAAAAAAAAATATTAATTAATTTACTATGATTTTTCAAATATTTAAATGCACTCTGAAAAATCGTCACGTCCGATTTACGTGAAAACATAGGTGGTTTTCGTCCACCCTATTTTTCACGTAACTTTTACCGGAATTGCACGTAGCCGATCAAAACTCAGCTTCGATTATCTACGTAATTATTCAGGTAAATAAGACCTGATTTTCACGTACTGCTTACGTGAAATCGGGGTGAATTCTACTGGAAAACTCGTAACTTTTACATGATATTCCGTTTCGTTTGAAATGTTTTTCACGTAGTTTTTACAGGAATTTTGAAGTTTGAATGGAGCTTATATGTAGAAGCAGTCAATATTATGGAATTGCATGGGGCAGATATAAATTCCACGTGTTTAAATTGATACTTATATTCACTCATAAAATTGCAAATTATTGACTACTTGGTAGATAGAAAAATTTATGAGATTTTTTATTTCCGTTAAAATATAATCATAAATAAATTAATTTAAATGAATTAAATTACCTTCCAATATTTGTAGCAAGCTGCTGGGAAATTTTGAATTTTTGAGGTGTTCTTCCACCACGCACGGTGACGCCATATTGACTTTTTTTGCGTACCTGAAAATCACGTAAATCTCGTTTCGCGGAAAAATCGAATCCTAAACACACAAACACAATTACACTAAATCTGTTTACGTGAATATACGGTCGATTTCATCAACATTTTTAGTGGACATGACGTGTAATGCAGATCAAAGCTACTAACGTCACGTAACATTTGAGATTTTCTAAATACTGATCAGTTACGTGATATTTCACGTAAATCGGACCTGAGGATTTTTTAGAGTGTGGGAATCGCACTTCGTAACCTGCCATTATCTCAATGCATACTTTTTCCATATGGGACTGATGTGGGATTATAGGTAGTTTAGTCTTATCATACAAGGCCTTTTGACTGCTGACTCCTTCAATTACTTGTCCCACCAGGCCTCCAAAACATGTCCTGCAAAGGTTCTGAACTTGGCCTCACAAGATATCTGGAAATTAACCTACCGTTTCTTTGAAATTGTCACATAAGGACTTTGTATTTGTCCGAACTTGTCGTATTTATAGCCATTTTTTTGGGATCCGTAAAGCTAACGCGATTGAGCCTTAAAAAATATAGCCATTTTTAAACTCGAATAGGTTGCAAAATGCATTTAATCTTGTAGTTTTACCGATATAGGGGAAATGGCTCTAATGTTGGCCTATGGATCTAAGATTGGACCAATCGCTAAAAATCTGCCATTTATCAATTTTATCTTGATCAACGCGTCATTGGGACGGTACTAATGGGTATTTTTGGTCGCTATTGAAAATTAAGTCGATTGCTGAATTTATGTATGGGCCCAAATTAGGGGTTAGGCCGACATTACATCCATTTCCCATGTATATATAATACATTTAACTCTTTCCCGCCTATGGTTACTCTGCAGCACCATGCCTTTTTTACATAGTGAAATTACAACCGTTTTTTTTTGTAAAAAAAAAGCCAATATCTCAAGGTCAAGACACTCTAGAGATACTGGGTTTTTAATTTAATTATGGCAAAACACTCTGGGCGCAAAAGAGTTAAAGCAATGTTTTGAGATTTACTTACGTTTTGAGAGTTCGTGGTAGATGAAGATATACGTCTAAAATACTCAAACATAGTCTCCGAAAAGGTAATAAAACCGGTAAAAAAGCATTGAATAGCACTAAATAGTTGAACAAACCAAAATCACGCCAATTTTCGATCAACCATGAAAACTGAAAGCTTCTATAATGGAAAAAAAACGTCAAAATTACCTATAAATTTGATAGAGCCGGAATTAGGGCGTAACAGCCTTTGTAAACAATGACTTCTCCCGTTGATTTCTCGGAATTCAAAGCACGCCTACACAAACCAACATATCCATCGGGTAGGAGAAGCCTTCCTCTACTCGATGGTGATGTCGATTTGCCAGGGAGAGCCATGACTTCCGAGAAATCATCGAGAGAAGTCATTTTCTAGAATTTCTGTAGATTATTTTGAAAAACTAGGATCAGTTTCATGGACTTACTACTTTTAAGGATGTTCAGGATCATTCATAAGACGGACCCATGGCCATCTGGATCCATTGTTAAGTCCCGACCAGTGATGTCAAAAAATCGCTTCTAGCGATCAATTAATACGCACACAACTGCTACAAGATTTTTTGGCATCATCATAAGCTAACGATGAACTCTTAACACTAATACGCAGAGAGCATATCGAACAGTAAGTTACCAAGATCTCAAGAGAGCAAGACGATAACAACATCATTGCTGTGTGCACTCACGATACATTACTTATACTACGCAAGGCTTGTTGTGAGTGCACGCTACAAACTAAAGATCTCAATGCGTACAGCTGAGTACAAGAAGTTGTTCGGACTATGTACAACTTATGAACAATCGTGATCAGATCATGATCATTGCCATAATGATCGCGATTTTTTTTTTTTGCTTTTTCAGTCTGTGAATTAGGAAAGACGCATGTATTTGCGTTGTCGGCATTGGTCCTTTCGATGGAGTGAAAAAGAAAGGAACAGTTCACCGGTTTGATGGAACTATCCGATGAACTACCGAGCCAAATGTGCGCTATTTACAGGTGAGGTGCAAGGAAACTAGTCGACTCTTTCATTCTCATCGCGTTCTAATACAGCAACAGACGTTACGTCACGTCTGTTGCTGCATTCTTCTGCATTGTTGCATCCTCCTTACCTATAGAAACCGCACATCG